CCTACATCATAATCCCCCCTCCACCAAACTTTACATTTGGCACAACGCAGTCAGGCAAGTACCGTTCTCCTGGCAATAGCCAAACCCAGACACATCCATCGGATTGCCAGACAGAGAAGCGTGATTGGTCACTCCAGAGAACACGTCTCCACTGCTCTAGAGTCCAGTGGTGGCGTGCTTTACACCATGGCATCCGATGCTTTGCATTGCACTTGGTGATGTAAGGCTTGGATGCAGCTGCTCGGTCATGGAAACCCATTCCATGAAGTTCTCTACGCACTGTTGTGCTAATGTGAAGGCCACATGAAGTTTGGAGGTCTTTAGCTATTGCCTCTGCAGACAGTTGGTGACTTCTGTGCACTGTGCGCTTCAGCATGTGCTGACCCTGCATGCTTCAACTAACAGTTGACCTTGGAATATTTAGTAGCCAGGAAATGTCACGGATGGACTTATTGCACAGGTGACAACCTATCACGGGACCACGCTTGGAGTCACTGAGCTCCTGAGAGCGACCCATTCTTTCACAAATGTTTGTAGAAGCAGTCTGCATGCCTAGGGGATGATTTTATACACCTGTGACCATGGAGGAGATTGGAACACCTGAATCCAATGATTTGGAGGGCTGGCCCAATACTTTTGGCAATATAGTGTATGTTTAAGGCTTAAAGACGTATTAAACCCAAAAGCAAACATTTATTATATTGCAGCTTACCAATTCTTAGATGTTGTGGCTGCATTCATTTTCTTTTTTAGGCTTTCTTTCCTTTATTTTCAGCTGGTGATCAGCCAGTAAGTCTGTTGTTTTTTCAAAAGTACAAACTCTCTTCCAGATGTATCATTTTACAAGGATGAGACAAACCATTTAACACTGACAGGGGTGAGTAAAATGATCAACTTTTATTTATTCTTGTAAAACCTTTACCCCAAAAGGAACAAAGCTGTTGCTGGAACCACATATAAAATATTAGCTGGAGTTTGGCTTCAATTTGTTATTGTATCTAAATCTGATAGCACATCTAACACTCCCTTCCCCTCAGACTGACAGTGGTGCTGTGCAAAGAAGCCCCTGTGCTCCTTCATCCAGAGTAGGGAGCACTCTAATACAGGAGGTGTGCTACTGTCCAGATCACCGGGTAGAAACAGAAGAAAAAAGCCTAAAAAAGAAAACAAATGCAGCCTCTACATCTAATGATTGGTAAGCTGTAATATATTACATTTTGTTTTGGGGTTTAATACCACTTTAAATAGTCTTACCATATATATATATATATATATATATATATGGTATAAAATGCTCCACTACCTGTCCTAGCCCCCTCCACTTACATGACTTCTGTCACCGATCCAGCACTGTCCCATCTGCAGCACTGCTCTCCCTTCTTCCTGTTCTCATAGGAGACAATAAGGGCAGCAGAGGCCATTGGCTCCTTCTGCTGTCAGTCAAACTCCTTTAAGGAGGAAGCAGGGGAGTGGCTTACCAGTGCTGTGTGTATCCATGAATGCACACAGCCCAGCTCAGGAACGTGGTTGCATGGGTGCCGTCCCCTTAGCTCAAAGCTTGCTGAGGGGGCACTCAGCATAGGGAGGAACAGACAGCACCAGCAGGGGGACTGCCAGAAGAGGAGGTAAAGGACTGCTTTGTGAGATATCATTGCACACAGCAGGTAAGAATAACCTCCTTTTTTTTTTTTAAACCAAATAACAAATATCCTTTAATAGCCCTTTACATTTAGCAGGCCCAATGGTCTAATGGGTTAAAGGATCAGCCGCTCGAGATTGTGGGTTCAAGTCTTCTCTGGGTCCTGAGATTGATAGTACAATGTCATATAAAATATTATATAGCATTTGATTACATGATAAATTAGGGATTTAGGAGGTCAAACTATATATGCTTCAGAAAATAAAGCCTAGGCTCTTCAGTAATGCATCTAAAATTCTCCACTAATAACGGAGGACCCGATGCTAGATTTTACCAGCGGGTGGACAGGTGCGCCCCCCTGTGTTCAGTAAGTTGCAGGGCAGCCACTGGTCATGGGACCCGGAAGCCAAGGGAGGCCACTGTAGTAATGTTGCCTACTGCAGTGATTTCCAGCTTCCACGGGGATCCCTCCAGCATGGCACATACCAGGGGTGGACTGACCATTTGGAAACTCGGGCACTGCCCGAGGGCCCGGGGTCAGTAGGGGGCCCCATGAGATGCCCCTGGTACCTTTTTCATAGGCTTTTTTGAGTTTGGGGAAGGACACAGGGACCCCATGATGCCCTATTGCCCGGGGGCTCCATGAGTTGTCAGTCCGCCTCTGGCACATACATACTGACATTGATCCTGGATGCTGGACCAACGTAACCATGGGAAAACTGCCATACGTGGAATTCAGCTTTAAGTGGACATTACATTTTTACTGCAAGGTCTACTTTAAAACATATGTATACAGTATCAATGAACTCCTGTTTGCTTTTCTTTTTTTGCTTTTATATAAACAATTAAAATGTTTTGTTACATCTGTTCAAAAAGTGCAACATTTACTGCACCCCACAAAAAATGAATCTCTGCACTCCAGGACTCAGCACATTCTTCTTGTTTCCAGTTGCTGACAACATAAGCTTTACTGCTACAGTGAGGGCTGGCTGTGCAAAATCACAAATACACTGCTCAAAAAAATTAAAGGAAGACTTTTTATTCAGAGTATAGCATCAAGTCAATTAAACTCCTGGGATATTGATCTGGTCAGTTAAGTAGCAGAGGGGGTTGTTAATCAGTTTCAGCTGCTTTGGTGTTAATGAAATTAACAACAGGTGCACTAGATGGGCAGCAATGAGATGACCCCCAAAACAGGAAAGGTTTTACAGGGGGAGACCATTGACATTTTTTCCCTACTCATCTTTTCTGACTGTTTTTCACTAGTGTTGCATTTGGCTAGGGTCAGTGTCACTACTGGTAGCATGAGGAGATACCTGGACCCTACAGAGGTTGCACAGGCAGTCCAACTCCTCCAGGATGGCACATCGATACATGCCATTGCCAGAAGGGATGCTGTGTCTCCCAGCACAGTCTCAAGAGCATGGAGGAGATTCCAGGAGACAGGCAGTTACTCTAGGAGAGCTGGACAGGGACGTAGAAGGTCCTTAACACATCAGCAGGACCAGTATCTGCTCCTTTGTGCAAGGAGGAACAGGAGAGAACTGCCAGAGCCCTACAAAATGACCTCCAGCAGACTTCATGAGGGTGGTCTGAGGGCCCGACATCCTCTAGTGGGCCCTGTGCTCATTGCCCGGCACCATAGAGCTCGATTGCCATTTGCCATTGAACACCAGAATTGGCAGGTCCACCACTGGCACCCTGTGCTTTACACAGATGAGAGCAGGTTCACCCTGAGCACATGGGACAGACGTGAAAGGGTCAGTATAGATATCCAGCATGATATTTTCCCCATTGAGATCTGATGTGTTTTCAAAGTGTTCCTTTAACCTCCCTGGCGGTATTCCCGAGTGTAGCTCGGGGTAAAATGTCAGTACCAAAAGTGGTAACCCCGAGCTACACTCGGGCTTACCATGCAGCGCTGCATAAGGATTTCCTGCAAAGCTTACCTTGTCCTTCGCTCCCGCGATGTGTCCCCTGCAGCATCCCCGGCCATCTCCTCCGGCCGATGCCGGCATCCGGCTTCTGTGTTCCGGTCCCTGTGACGTCGGGACGTACGGGCACCGCCAGCAGCGGGAAATTTGAAAATTTTAAAAAATTTCATTTTTTTCAAAACACATTTTTCATAGTAAAACATTGCTGTTTCAACCCATTTCACATACATTTTGTCCCGAGTGCTTTGTCCGGCGCCCTGCCTGCATTTTGTCTGTTCTTTCTGCCTGGAAACTGAGAAACGTCCATGGCGTCCAAAAAGCGTCCCTTTAGGTCAAAAGCGGGTTTAGACCGGCTAGAGAACAGCGATAGTAAATCAGAACCACTTGCAGAATTGAGTGATAATGATTCGTGGGAAAATTCATCATCAGACACTGAAAACGATTTTGCGACTTTGCTCAGCGATGTACAAACTTGGCGCTCTATTTCAAATTTCAGTGTTTTCAGTTTGATTATAATATTGAATTAAATTTATTATTATTATATTATTATTTTTTATGATTATTTATTAAATTATCATTTATGATTTCGTGTTTCAAGTTTTATCATACCCGGGATGTGTACTAGACTCTTGTTCGGACAGATTTCAGTGAGTTATTCCTAAGAATTACAGCCTACAATAAAAAACTACATATTTCCATGCAAAAAAATGTACCGCTTTCAGCACCAAAAATCTAAAATAATCATACCGCTAGGGAGGTTAATACGTTTGAGCAATGTATATACGTGATTTTGTTTTTCCGAGTAGGGAGTGCGTGTGCCCACCTACTCAGGCTGCCATTGGCTCCCTGACATGCCAGTCAGTGAGTCCTAGCCCTGAACTGCCGTGAACTGGCCTGTCGATCCCCAGAGCTACATGGTTAAAAAAAAAAAAATATATATATATATATATATATAGGTGAGGTAAAAGAAATATACATGTAACGAGAGGTCACCACCTTGAGTGAAAATGTGCCAAAAGAAAGGAAGGAAAACAGGGAAATCTAGGGTCACCTATCAGTGTATGTATAGATAGAACAAGATAATAATACAGATTTGAAAGTATAAAATGCATCACAATTTTTATTCAAACAAAAAAAATGTGAAAACAAATTATAATAAAAAGGTAATATTATACAAATGACACTTGATGTAGGCGACACATTACACGTTTCGCAGTTGCATCCGCTTCTTCAGACTTTTACACTCAAGTGTGACAAATATTCATAACATCTCTATAAATAGAATATATATATATATATATATATATATATATATATATATATATATATATGAGATCCACTAACATGCATGGGTACATAACATGAATAATACAATTCCAAGCTGGCCCATAAAGGGAACAGTGTGGACAGGGGCAGACTGACAACTCATGGGGCCCCCGGGCAATAGGGGATCATGGGGCCCCTGTGTCCTTGCCCAAACTCAAAAAAGCCTATGAAAAAGGTACCAGGGGCATCTCATGGGGCCCCCTACTGACCCCGGGCCCCTCGGGCGGTGCCCGAGTTTCCAAATGGTCGGTCCGCCCCTGAGTGTGGACACAAAATGTTGGAGCCGTAACAATTTCTAAAGTAGGGCATACACTATTTCAGGCGCGACTTACATAGACATTTGTGTCTTGCAAGCTGCAGATGTCTTGCAAGTCGCACCTCAAGTTGGAATGACATCTGACTTTGTTATCGCACCGGGTGACACCAACCCTTGGGACGCACCTGACTGGACTGTTTAGACTGTTCAGCCACGTGATTGGCTAGGCTGTAATGGCATCATTCCCACAAATGCCCACAGGAGTCACATGATCGTGGCACATAGGGGTGCCGTTAAAGTGTGCTAAGCTGCGCATGCATGGCTCTGTATACATGAGCGCTGACAGGCAGGGAGAAACAGTTGTTCAAGAAGAGACCATTAGGGTCTCTTCATTCACAAAGATCCTTCCAGTTTTTTTTTTTTTTTTTAGCTCAATTCACCTTTAAGTACCCTCAGTTACCCTAGGACAGCTACACTATTAAAATACATATAGAAAAGCTTTTTTACCTGCCAAAGGATTTTCTGTCCATTCAGTCCTGAGGTTGAGGCTAGGTTCACACTTTGTGTGTGCAACAGAGCGTGCATGGCAGCCTATTTATTTCAATGGGCTGCTCCATGCATTAGAAATGCGCACCTGACCTATTTGCAAAATGGTACCAAAGCCACAAAAGTGCATGTGTTAGCAGAGGCTTGAGGGTGCCATTAACAATTAAAGACGCCCCCACATGTCTGCTATAGGGCAGCGTGTTTCTGAGTGTTGGGTAAGCATGCGATTTTACGTTCCCCACGTGCACAAACTGCAAACCTTGCCTATCAGAAGCTCGCCAGACAGCGCAGCCAGGTTGGTGACTTGACATTTTTCCTATGGCAATTAAGCAATACAGCTCGGCTGCTTCCCTGATTTAATATTTGTTTAAACTAAAAGGATTTTTTTTACAGCACGTTATGTCTGTAATATCTCTGTGATGTCATAGATTTCCGGTATAAAAATAGCAGGTGTTCCAAAAAAAGACACCAGTGATCCATATCTTGTTTCATCATCAGCATTTTCCTTCATGTAATTCTGTCTGCCTTCAAGGAAAAAAAATACTGGCAAGGGTGTGTGGATTTATCTGCTGTTCACACACCCTTTGTGTAATGACCTTATAAATTTCTCTGCTCATTCTTTCAAGGTTTATGGGTCACAAAGCTGAGGGTGTGACAAAAATGCATTACACCTATCTGCAAGAGCCTGGCCTGATAGGGAGGCCTATAGGGGAAGGTGTTGCTCTGCCATCTAGTGGACAAAATGCTTATTGCTGGCTGAGTCTACATTCTGAAAATACCATATCTACCTCCCATCCAACTCAAGGAGGTCATTTCATTTACAGGTGAAACTCGAAAAATTTGAATATCGTGCAACAGTTCATTTATTTCAGTAATGCAACTTAAAAGGTGAAACTAATATATGAGATAGACTCATTACAAGCAAAGCAAGATATTTCAAGCCGTGATTTGCCATAATTGTGATGATTATGGCTTACAGCTCATAAAAACCCCAAATCTGCAATCTCCGAAAATGAGAATATTGTGAAAAGGTGCAATATTCTCGGCTCAAAGTGTCCCACTCTAATCAGCTAATTAAGCCATAACACCTGCAAAGGGTTCCTGAGCCTTTAAATGGTCTCTCAGTCTGGTTCAGTAGGAATCACAATCATGGGAAAGACTGCTGACCTGACAGTTGTGCAGAAAACCATCATTGACACCCGTCCATAAGGAGGGAAAGCCTCAAAAGGTAATTGTAAAAGAAGTTGGATGTTCCCAAAGTGCTGTATCAAAGCACATTAATAGAAAGTTATGTGGAAGGGAAAAGTGTGGAAGAAAAAGGTGCACAAGCAGCAGGGATGACCGCAGCCTGGAGAGGATTGTCAGGAAAAGGCCATTCAAGTGTTGGGGACTTTCACAAGGAGTGGACTGAGGCTGGAGTCAGTGCATCAAGAGCCAGCCACCACACACAGACGGATCCTGGACATGGGCTTCAAATGTCGTATTCCTCTTGTCAAGCCGCTCCTGAACAACAAACAACGTCAGAAGCGTCTTACCTGGGCTAAAGAATAACAGACCTGGTATGTTGCTCAGTGGTCCAAAGTCTGATTCTTTTCTGATGAGAGTAACTTTTGCATCTCATTTGGAAACCAAGGACCCCGAGTATGGAGGAAGAATGGAGAGGCCCAAGGACCCAGAGTATGGAGGAAGAATGGAGAGGCCCAAGGACCCCGAGTATGGAGGAAGAATGGAGAGGCACAAGATGCTTGAAGTCCAGTGTGACGTTTCCACAGTCTGTGTTAATTTGGGGAGCCATGTCATCTGCTGGTGTCGGTCCACTGTGCTTCATTAAGTCCAGGGTCAACGCAGCCGTCTACCAGGAGATTTTGGAGCACTTCATGCTTCCTTCCGCAGACGAGCTTTATTGGGATGCGGACTTCATTTTGCAGCAGGACTTGGCACCTGCCCACACTGCCAAAAGCACCAAAACCTGGTTCAATGACCGTGGGATTACTGTGCTTGATTGGCCAGCAAACTCGCCTGACCTGAAGCCCATAGAGAATCTATGGGGCATTGCCAAGAGAAAGATGAGAGACGTGAGACCGAACAATGCAGAAGAGCTGAAGGCCACTATTGAAGCATCCTGGTCTTCCATAACACCTCAGCAGTGCCACAGGCTGACAGCTTCCATGCCACACCGCATTGAGGTAGTAATTGCTGCAAAAGGGGCCCAAACCAAGTACTGAGTACATATGCATGCCTATACTTTTCAGAGGTTCGATATTGTTCTATGTACAATCCTTGTTTTATTGATTGCATGGAATATTCTCATTTTCTGAGATTGTGGATTTGGGGTTTTCATGAGCTGTAAGCCATAATCATCACAATGATGACAAATCACGGCTTGAACTATCTTGCTTTGCATGTAATGAGTCTATCTCATATATTACTTTCACCTTTTAAGTTACATTACTGAAATAAATTAACTTTTGCCATATTCTACGATATTCTATTTTTTCGAGTTTCACCTGTATATGGTGGAATTATGATCTCTGACAATTGGCTCATGTGGAAACATTTGGACAGCTTAAACCCAACTCCAGACAAAGCTTTTGGAGAGGTTAGATCCATTTTAAAAAATATTCAACTCAAACCCAAAAATATAATCAATTTTATTTATTACAGGTACTTACAGTGGGGCAAAAAAGTATTTAGTCAGCCACCAATTGTGCAAGTTCTCCCACTTAAAAAGATGAGAGAGGCCTGTAATTGGCATCATAGGTAGACCTCAACTATGAGAGACAAAATGAGAGAAAAAAAATCCAGACAATCACATTGGCTGATTTGGAAAGAATTTATTTGCAAATTATGGTGGAAAATAAGTATTTGGTCAATATCAAAAGTTCATCTCAATACTTTGTTATATATCCTTTGTTGGCAATGACAGAGGTCAAACCTTTCCTGTAAGTCTTCACAAGGTTGGCACACACTGTTGCTGGTATGTTGGCCTTTTCCTCCATGCAGATCTCCTCTAGAGCAGTGATGTTTTGGGGCTGTCGCTGGGCAACACGGACTTTCAACTCCCTCCAAAGGTTTTCTATGGGGTTGAGATCTGGAGACTGGCTAGGCTCCAGGACCTTGAAATGCTTCTTACGAAGCCACTCCTTTGTTGCCAGGGCGGTATGTTTCGGATCATTGTCATGTTGGAAGACACAGCCACGTTTCATCTTCAATGCCCTTGCTGATGAAAGGAGGTTTGCACTCAAAATCTCACAATACACGGCCCCATTCATTCTGTCCTATACATGGATCAGTCGTCCTGGTCCCTTTGCGGAGAAACAGCCCCAAAGCATGATGTTGCCACCCCCATGCTTCACAGTAGGTATGGTGTTCTTTGGATGCAACTCAGCATTATCTCTCCTCCAAACACGATGAGTTGTGTTTCTACCAAACAGTTCTATTTTGGTTTCATCTGACCATATGACATTCTCCCAATCCTCTTCTGGATCATCCAAATGCTCTCTAGCAAACTTCAGAGGGGCCCGGACATGTACTGGCTTAAGCAGGGGGACACGTCTGGCACTGCAGGATCTGAGTCCCTGGCGGCGTAGTGTGTTACTGATGGTAGCCTTTGTTACGTTGGTGCCAGCTCTCTGCAGGTCATTCACTAGGTCCCCCCGTGTGGTCCTGGGATTTTTGCTCACCGTTCTTATGATCATTTTGACCCCACGGGGTGAGATCTTGCGTGGAGCCCCAGATCAAGGGAGATTATCAGTGGTCTTGTATGTCTTCTATTTTCTAATTATTGCTCCCACAGTTGATTTGTTTACACCAGGCTGCTTGCCTATTGCAGATTCAGTCTTCCCAGCCTGGTGCAGGTCTACAATTTTGTTTCTGGTGTCCTTTGACAGCTCTGTGGTCTTCACCACAGTGGAGTTTGGAGTGTGACTGTTTGAGATTGTGGACAGGTGTCTTTTTTACTGATAACAAGTTCAAACAGGTGCCATTGATACAGGTAATGAGTGCAGGACAGAGGAGCCTCTTAAAGAAGAAGGTACAGGTCTGTGAGAGCCAGAAATCTTGCTTGTTTGTAGGTGACCAAATACTTATTTTCCACCATAATTTGCAAATAAATTCTTTCCAAATCACCAATGTGATTGTCTGGATTTTTTTTCTCATTTTTTCTCTCATAGTTGAGGTCTACCTATGATGCCAATTACAGGCCTCTCTCATCTTTTTAAGTGGGAGAACTTGCACAATTGGTGGCTGACTAAATACTTTTTTGCCCCACTGTATATAGCGCCGCCAATTCTGCAGCACTTTACATATATATTGTACATTCACATCAGTCCCTAACCCCCAAGGGGTGTACAATCTGAGGTC